GCGATATCGATCTCCTTCATGCATAATCGGCACTTGGCTCTGAACTTCTTTTCGGGCATCGATAAAATCCATTCTTTATAAGCTTGATTATCCATCCATTGGGGATTAAAATAGCACTTCCCAGGCATAACTAGTCTAAACTACATAACACAAATACGAAGCCGTGCCTTTGCGAATACGCTTTACAATAAAGTTTTGAAATGACGCAAACGTAAGGACAAGTGCGGATGGTAAAACGGCAAATTTATTGAAAACTACAAGGTACATATTGTTACGAAATTCGAGATTATTCCAGTTTCGATAAGAAAAGATCTAAGCATATGCGACAGAAGATGAAGTGGAGTCTCGCCCCGAACGCATTGATTGTCTGCTGTGCACGCGCTTGGCAGACACCAAGACACTAGTCCCGGTTAGAAATGGTGGCGTTAAAAACCAGGTGAGAGAGCTCGGGAACAAAACAGAAAGAACAAGAAAGATCCGCGGGTGTTTTATAAAAGCGGCTGCCGGCAGTTTTGGACAAATTCAAGGACCTATCAAGTTTTTCAAGGACCTAAGACGTTTTTCAAGCACTTTCAAGGACCTAAATTTAGCACAAAAAAATTCAAGGACTTCCAAGGACTCTCAAGGACCGTGGGAACCCTGCTATACAAGTACATAAATAATTAACCTTTAATTGACATTTAAAAGCAACAAAGTCAGAAAAAAAGTTTGTTTGAATATTAACTTCATCACTGGCTGTAATTTAAACAGCAACCCAAACAACCGATAGCATGCAGTTCATGAGTTCAAAACTACTTATCAATATATTGAAACTAATAAAAAGAGATAAGAGTTTTAAAGTATCAATTAAAAGAATAAAGTATTTAAATAATTATTAAAAAAATTCACCTTTCATAAAACGGCTAAAATAGTTGCGTTGTTTCTTTTTTCCATTGTCCTTTTCTAGTAGATGAGAAAATGCATCATTATCCAAATCTAGAGTAAATGTTAAATGCATTCGGCATAATTCGACTAGTTTCTCAGGGTCGAATTTCTGAAGTTTCAGTATTGCTTCCATTTCTGCACATTACAGTTATTCTACAATTAAATAAAATTAATCTTAATACCAATGTAAAATAATCTTTATAAATGTAATATGATTATGATCAATAAATTCAATTTAATTACAGTAATCTGGATTTAGAACAAAAATATTATTAACCATTCATAATCGTAAATACGTATATAAATATTATTATATGTGTAAGATATTAAAAAAAAAAGTTTTTGTTAAAAAAAAACAAATGGTTAGAAAATATAGAGGCCTGCATAGAATTAATGGTTCAAAAAATAAAGTGTGATTAGCAAATAAATTTAATATTAATATCTTAAGTCATTAAAATAGAAATATTCTTCATATTTGAGAAAAATTAAGAACATTCTGTTTGAAAATACATAAAAATGGATTTAGTTACTGTAAATGTGTATCATTTAATTTCATTTACTCCCATCAATTTTATTTGCACTTTTCTTTTCAGGGTGTTTAATTGAGGATCTTGGCTTGGACAACCTTAGAACACTGCTTAATTTAGATATTTATAAATGATTTCCTTTTTAATTAAACACCAGAAACTTCTTCATAGTTACAGTATAGGGATGATTTATATAATGATACCTAAGCTATACCTGGTGACTTCTAGGTGGTGGCACTCGAGAAAAAAAAAATCCCATTAGGAGACCAATTGGTCTTCACCCCCAAACAAACTATAACAAAAGCTTTTGGTACTTTTCGGCCAGCCAAGTGCAAAGAAATTTGACTATTTTTTAACAAAAATTCTTTCTGTTCAGCATTGTAATAAATAAATAAAATAAAAAAAGAAACAAAAATTTGGCAAATGCTTTTTTTGTGTGGCGATTTTACGCCTTTGCTTGATATGGTTGTAAAAGAATCCAATCCACTGCTTCCCCCCCCCCAAGGCTTAATAGTGTTTTGCTAACTTAATTGAACTTTTCACCATTTTCTTTTATACTTTAAAATATCACAGTAAGTTTTACTGCATTAATATATACTATTACTTTGATTAATAACTATAATTATTA